ATTTATTTTTTCATCAAAATTTGAGACTTCAATCAACTAAGGTGTATTAAAATTTCATATACAAAAATATTACAATAGAGAAATGTAATTCTTGCATTACCTTAATGCCAATTTCAAAAAAAGAAAATTAAAAACAGTCTAATATGTAGCCCTGTGACAAGGAAAATACATGAATGAGCTAATAAAAAGTGAAAAGAAGCTAATTAAAAATCAGTTGTCAGTCATTTATCCCCAAAGATCCAGTTCTTAGGAGACATTCAGTGCCATTCAGTTAGAACAGAATGCAAAATAATCATTCAACACTTAATTAATGACATTTAATTTTCTATGAGTTTTGTGTATTATATAGTGGTGAGTCTTAACAACTGGGTTTTAGAAATAAGCATATACATATATATATATATGTATATATCCTTTTTTTGCAGAACCTCCTTTTATTCCTACTTTCAAAAATTAATGCTATGTTAGATTATTTTACAATTATAACTCAACCAAAGGAATTTACACTATATTATACTATTATACTGTCTATATATTGTACTATAACTTAATTATTCCTGGTTATATACAATATAAAATTATAATATTTTATAGAAAACTTTGGAATGAACAAAATGTATGCTCTATTTTATTTTTAAATGCCATCTAACAAAAAAGTATATAAACAAATATAATTTAATGTATTTTGTCTAAATCATCAAAATCTGACAAAACTAAAATTAAATTTTAATTATTGTATATTTTAATATTGTAAAAGTAACATGCAATACAATGTACACATTTTAAGTATTCAATTAGATGACTTTGACCGGTATCATACCTGTGTATCATTACCCCCATGAAGACAAAGTGATTTAATCACCCCAGAAACTTACATTATGTTCTTCATAGTTAACCTTCCTACCCAAGTCTTCCCTAGCTACCACAGATTAGATCTCTATTATTATGTATTCATTTTGCTCATTCTAGGATTTCATATAAATGGAATATATAATAACTTGTGTATTCTTTTAAGCTTGGCTTGTTTTGCTCACTATGTTTTTAAAATTTACCTAATATATCAGATGTATCGATAAGTGATATATTTTGTTGTTAATTGTGAGTAGTATTGTTTGTATAAATGTACAAATCTTTGTTTATTCATTCACCTGACATGGCCATTTGAGTTGTTTCTAGTTTTTATCTATTCCGAATAATGCTGCTGTGAGAGGTTTTTTTGTGGACTTAAGAATCCATTTCTTTTTTTAAATAAAAACCTAGCAGTACAATTTCTAGTTTACTTGGTGACTCTATGTTTTCTTGTTCTTCAGGTTGGATATTTTCTATTAATTTCTTTTTTAAGTTAACTGACTTTTTTTTCTGCCATTTTTAATCTCTTCTTGCATACATCAAGTGAAATTTTTACCTCAATCATACTGGTTCTAGAATTTACATTTTTATATTTTCTAATTTCTGTTGACATTTGGTTAGATATTAACTCATTAAAATATATTTTATTTAATTTTTGAATACATTTATAATAATTATTTTAATGTTCTTTTCTGATCAATTCACCACCACAGTCATATGTTGATTACTCTTGACTGTTTTCTTATATGGACCACATTTTTTTTATTTCTTTACCTGTCTTGTAACATTTAAATTCATATTAATAACTGTGATTTCACCTTGGACTTGTATAGGCTTTGCTTTATCCTTTGTCTGAGTGGAAATGTGGAAAACCCAATGTGTTACCTAAGACCTACTGACCTGATGAGACCAACCTCCAAGTTCTGCCTCCCACACACATCTTGGCAAGGCTTGGTTTTAGTTCCTGTTAGAGTATGTTTTATCCTTATAAAGATAGAACTTATCCTATCTTGGTGTTAGTGTGTTGTTACTTGAGATGTGTGTCTGGAGTGTTATGAAAATGTTAAAGCAATCTTCCTTCTGATTCATCCCACTGTGGTTGTTGTTCTCTATAAGACAGAGAATCCCTCCTGCTCAGGTGCTAGCCAGTCCTTCCCAAACA